TATATATATATATAAATTTTACTCTAGTTTTACTGCTATATCAGAAAGATCTAAGTCAGATGTTTCAACATTTGAATTTTCTCTTCAGGGTTTTGTTCAAAGCCATTTGACATTCAGAAAAACACCTGTTAAACAACTGCTAACTTTTAGACAGCGTTCAGGGCACATTCACTCCAGTTCTAATCACCTGGGTGTCTGCAGCCAGGTGTATGTAACAATAAACACATTAAATTTGTTATTCTGCAGGGGAAAGACTACCGAAACCAGACAGAGGGAAGATGCGCTTCCATAAAATTGCAAATGTCAACAAAGCTCTGGATTATATCGCCAGCAAAGGAGTGAAACTTGTATCGATTGGTGCAGAAGGTACGTGACAGAGCTTGACAATGCACCTTACTTAGATCCCAGGCATTCACGTTGCAAAGAAGTCTGATAGAGACCTTTGGCCAAATTGAGAGGGCTGTTCTCTATATATGGGTGCCTCAAAAATCCCTTAATATTGATTGCTGACCTGTATCTGTGGAAGGACGAGAGGTGGAGATTTGTAGACACCTGGCAAGGGATAGGGGTATAAATGGGCTCTAAGATTAGTTCATCTCCAAGGCTAAACTGAATTGTCTGTATTTCAGTGGGTATTCAGATAATTATTTCTTCTTTTAGAGCATTACGGTTTTTCCATATGTTGTGAAAAATAAGGAACTCCTTTAGAAATCAGGTTGGATTCTACGGTGTGCTTTATCCAATCTGGGACCTTTTTTATCTTTAGGAGATATTATTCAGACAAGGCAAAGTCTGACATCACTACCAGGTGACTGGGACCTACTCCCATTTTATTATGAGACTGTGGATGGCAGCTGTGTTTCTAAAATTCATATGTAGAGTTAAGGGAGTGATCAAAATAAATTATGGTAGATAGGGAGAGACTGAGCATATGAAGAAAGTGGGATGGGATGTTATTTACTAGAGTTATTGCTTTGTTATTGTTCTGTTGTTCAGGTAGTGAAATAAAAACATGCAGTTGTCTAGCTACATGCTGATAGATGTAAATTCTGAGTAAAAGAAGGTGGGCTCTCACTGCAAGTGAACCTATGCCTCCTATGAGATTCAATTAATTGTGTAAAAGGACAAAGGTCGGTCTAAAACTACCTACTTCATGGAGATACTTGCATAATGCTTTGCATAGCCATTACCATACAAAGGGGTGATGTGGCTAGCAAGATATCCAACCACTCTTGATTCCATAGCCTCAGTGCTGTGCTTTCCATTCCGGGGGCAGCCTCTAACATGTCCCTAGAGCAAAACCCTGGCTGTAAGCTCAGTATCACAGTGAGAAGCGCTGGCTATATTCTATTCACATTGCTAGGGTTTTTTAGATCAATTCATAAGCATTCCCTTCCTGTTTTCAGATTTCTTGAGGCTTATATATGTCTTTATTCTGGTTTACAAACCTTGATCTCAGGGAGCTTACTGTAATTGTGGATGGAGCAAGAAGATTCATTAGGTGGGACAGCGGCATCTGTAGAAGTAATGGAGAGATCTGTCAGCATTTGTTGATTGCACAACTGTTTGACTTAGCCCACTAGGTTCCTCAAGTACTGTTCACCAAATGTGTTCAGTTTCTAGACCTAGAACTCTACAGTCCCAAGAACTGGGTGTTCTCTGGGCAGAGCATTTGTTTGAACTTGCCCTTTATTCATTTGAAACTGAACTGGGTGGGCCATCTGAGTCCAAATCCATACTGTCTATCTTTAGGCACATAACAGATGTTTTCTGGGGAGTAGATCATCAGTGGGGAGACCTGGGCAATTCCCAAAGGCGCTTCAGATCTCAAAAGAGCTGTACTGCATTTCAGAGGTGCCTGGCTCCCTCCATCGGTTGTACAGGCAGTCAGGGGCAGCTGGGCCCTTTGCTCAATTAAATTAAGTGGAATGTAAAAATATGGCACTATCCTAAGCCTCTGCAATTAAGGTTACTCTGAGAGCGACATGGCATTGAGTGGACAGCAGAGGGTACTGAAGAGACAATTTATGTGTGGAAATGAAAATTAAAAGTACAGAAGCCTATTTGATAGCTGGTGCAGACATACTGAGAGCACAGAGCATGGAGCAAATGAATGGTAGTTTCTGTTATGTCATTCTGGGACTCTGAGGCTTCCCTGACAAAAATGAGAGTGCAGCAAAAGGAGTATCTTGTGGGATAGAGTGGTCATTCTCTCTGGTCATAGTACTAGTTAGTGTTTTCACATCTAGATTCTTCAAGCAAGGCTGGAGTATTTAAACTGAGATGCATCAGCTCGTATCTGCTCCTGAAAGGACCAGACCAGCCATGTGCACTCCTGTCTCCCTCATTTTGCCCTGCTTATTGCTGCTTATTTCCGCCAGGGTGGTCAGACTAGGGAGCAGTGCTTGAGCAATTTCTGTATCACCTGAAGGCAAAGCATCTGGGGTAGCTCAGATGAGCTGTTAAAATCACTTAAACTAACCCTGCTGTTCTCCTTGGCAGCAGCTGGCATGAGCCTGCATGCTCAGTGATAATAAATAATTCCGTCTGGGAGGGAGGCAGGAACAAGAGGCAGTAACTTCTAGCTTCTCAACCAGTTGCTGCAAGGTGATGTCGGACCACGCACTTGGTATTTCTTCCTGCATGTAACAGCAGGCCTTAGTTAGTAAGCCAGGAGATTAAGGTGATGTTCTTGGCTGTGCTGCAGGCATTTATTGCCTGTTTCTGGAATTCTCAATCTGTAAAATGGAGGGATTAGAAGCAAAAATTAATTCATTAGCACTAAAAAAAAGCTTTAAGTTCTTGGATGGAAGCAGAGGAGAAAAATCCACTGCTACTGTCGTAGCTTAGGTGCAGAGAGGAACCTGTCATTGTAAGACATTGCACTATGTCAAGTATGGCTACTAACACACATTAGATTACATCCATGTGGGCAGCAGCAGATGGATTCATGTGCCTTCCACTCCTACTCTAAACAGGCTGAACACAAAGCCAGGTCTGGCCCAGACGTGCTTAGTGCCCTGTTGAGTTTACCACATCCCCTCTACTAAATTTGTTATCTAAGGCACAGTGCTGTGCTGATGCAGCAATTTGGTATCACATCTGACTGGGTACAGTTTCACAGTGTGGGACCTCTGGCACCAGTACGTGTTTAAAGAGTCCCTGTGCCCCCTTGTCCTGCATACTTGCTCCCACACTTCGCAGACCTACCCTATCACTTGGGTTGACAACTGTTTCTGGAGCTATGCTGGATCCGCAATCTGATCTGGTTTTAAAACACACTTCACCTCTTTTTTTTTTCTTTTGTTGCATTTTTCAGCATTGTTGACTGGGCAGTCATAGTATGAAGATGGAATGAATGCCAGAAAGGAGGCAGAGCACAGGCTCCTTCAGCTTGTATTATTATCAAAGTCCTTAACCCCTTAACTCACTGCCCCATGTGTGAGGATGGGGCATATGGGCTTGCCTGCACCCATCTGTTTTGGCATTCTCTGAGTTACATGGATGCATGGAATACTTTTTAATTTCCAAAGCATGAAATTTTTGTATCTGCTGAGGATCATGTTTTATTATCTGACATGCTGAGTGGTGAAGATTGTGTAGGCCCAAGGGGACCAACTGGCATTTAAAATGGGACCTCAAAACAAAGATTAAACTGTGATTCCTGGGGGACATCAGTACAAAGATCAATTTAGTATTTTTAAGGGGCCAGGGATATTCTTTAAAGACATCATTACTGTTTTGAGGCTGACTTCCTTGGACTATTTCTTGAGTGAAAAAAAGAGAGGTGATCACCTTTAGCTGTGATGCTGAGCAGAGGCCACATTTAGCTACTCTGATCTGTGTAGTGGAAGAGTCTCTCTCTCCATTGATGATTAAATGAGACTAGAGAGTCAAGAAGCTAAAGCAAAAGCTGTGAAAGTAGCCCTTCTGAGCCATTCACAGTCCAGGAGTTGGGAGTTTTCCCTTAAATTTTTAAAAAAAGTGCAGTAACTCCATTTGCAAGGTAATTGCGTCCTGAATTAAATCAACAGAGATACGGAGAACCGCAGAAGATGAGTATCCTGTTAATAGGAAACACTTCTGTATTGCTCTTCTGGGGAGTGGGAGAAATATTAAAGACCAAATGATCTGTGAATCTGCTACAAAAATGTTAGAATAAAAAAAAAAAAGCCAGAACAGAATAAAAAACCCAAACCTAAAACCTTTAAGAACTTGCTGCACTGCTTTGCTCTAGCTTTTTCCCTAGGCAGTTTTGATTGTTTTCCCTTGCCTTTCCCTTCTCTCTTTTCCTGACCTCATAGGTCAGCAAGACCTTTCTCCCCAGAAAGGTGTAGCTTTGCATATGTGAGGTGTAGGAACTATATTCCTCCCAGAGGAAACAGGCAGCGTGAAGAAAATAATGAATCATAGAATGGTTATGGTTGGAAAGGACCTTAAAGTCTTCTATTGACCTGTAAAGGAAAATTATAGGAATGAATCAGTATTTTTTCATCACTGACACTTTTCAACATTTAGCAACTTTGTTTTCCTTCTGTTTAGATATTTTTCCTTGTCTTTTATACATGGCTTTTTTGTGTTTTATGATAGCAGTAGCTAATGAGAAACCAAAGCTGGCAAATTGCTTGAAAATTCTCCTGAGGCACAAAATGAAAAATTCCCTCTCTTGCTCTTTCATTTTGTCTGTGTGTACATACGGATATGTAAATCAAAACAACGATGTAGTGATTATGCAAATCCATGAACTGATTGCCTGACAATCAGCAGTGCCTCCTGAGTATTTAAATTCAGTTATTTTACATTTGAAGAAATTCTGCTTTACTGTATATACATAACAGACATCTGATCAAAATACAGTTAAATACTTGACCAAGGAGGAGGGAGGAGAAAGGAGAAAGAAGTAGCTACATACCCTAATTATCATTTGTTCTTTTTTGGTTGAAAGAGTTTAGTTTTGAGATTTGAAGAGACTTGAGGTATTTCAGGGCTGATAAGATAGCAATAATGCGTTACAAAGTGAGGTAAGAATTCTGGAAAATTAGTGTGGAACCCAAAGGGGAAAGTGAAAAAATGGCCATTCATATATGAAATAGGATTATCCCACTAACAAAGTATAGACTAATGATGGGTGACATATTTCCTACCACATTTGTTAATTCCATAGGTTCAAATGACAGCTTGTGTCACGTACTGTTGCAATTTAACATGTATTGCAAGTCTCAAAGCTTGCAGCTGCTTTGTTCTGTAAAAGTTGCCCCTGGATTCAGGCAACTTTGAAGTAGCAGAGCAACTACATTTTCTACTGGCACCTCTATTGGCATTTGATGTTCAGTTGAGGAAATTCCTCCTGCTGCAAGTTCCCCCTGTTCCTTTTGCAGAACACCAGTGGCCCCCCCAGGCAGCCACAGCTGCTCCAGTTTTTGAGGAAGGCTGGAGGTGACTTTCAAGCAGGGGAGCAGCTGGTGCCTTCCCTGCTCCAATGATCTTTCGGTATGAGGTGACTGGGAAGACAGTCTGCACTTCCCCTCTCTCATTGTCCACCCTCCTCCCCTTCCAGTGCTGCACTCTCCTTATAGTGTCACTATGTTGTTCTGAGTCTCTCGCTATACTTCTCAGATTGATTTAACATTATCACCACAATAAGTGGTCTGGCAGTACATCTTTTGGTGTTGAGAAGTTTAAGTGGTATCACTGTTCATATGACAGTGTCAGAGCACTGCATTCTGACTTGGCTTCTGGAAGGGACTCCCATGGATGTGTGAGAAGGGTTGGAGAAAGCACCTTCCTAGTGCCCTGTTTTGAAGGTAGACTCAACCAGTCTTGAAAAAAATTGAAACCCTAGAGGTAAAAAATCCCATTTTTTATTGAAGATCCATAAATGCGCATAAGCATCAGAGCTGTAAGACATTACAGCCTTGTGGCCATGTTTCTGAACTGCCAGGAAGGAAGGTATGTAGTCTCAGGAGATGCTGTGTCTCTTGAGCTGTTCTTCTTGCCTAGTCTGTGCTGACACTATAGGTAAAATTCTCAAAAAGGTCTAAATAGAATAGGGGAATTTCTGAGTATAATTTTATTAAAAAAATAATACTGTTAATGTCTTGTGGTTTCTTAAAATTTGGGGTAAGACCATATTTTTTAAATTTCCTTTGTATTTGAAAACAGTAAGGCTAATACTGTTCAAACCTTAAGTATTTCCCTTCAGGCTCTCTCTAAAAAAAAGATAGCCTAAAAGGTAAAGCTTTGAGACAGTTACAACTACCTGGAGAGAAGCCTTTTAGCATTGAAGGGCTGAAGTGACCTTAACCTCAGTAATCTTCAGTCCTACTGCCAGGGTAGCACAAGCAAGTTTGTTGAAAAATGAATGCCGATGAACTCTGTGTAGATAAAGAATTATGGTAGAAATATGACATATTTATGAGAGACAATATATTATTTATAGAAATAGATGATTAAAATAAGACAAAATAGAAAACACATTCTAAATACTACTACTATCTCTTTTTTTCACCTTAGAAATTGTGGATGGCAATGTGAAAATGACGCTGGGTATGATCTGGACTATCATCCTTCGCTTTGCTATTCAGGATATTTCAGTGGAAGGTAATAAAAATGCAACTATGTTAAGTAATTAGGAAATTTGTTTAAAGACATTTTTATATTAGTTGTGCACAAGTGAGATGAGTGTTTTAAAAATGAATTATTTTTTCACAGAAAATGATACTGCAAGTTCCCTACCTGATGACAAAATCAGTTTCTGGAGGAAAAAAGTAATTACTCTCCTTACCCTGACAGAGACCTTGATCCAGCTTTCTAAATACAGGAGTTCAAGGCATCTCTCTCAGTTTTAGAGATAGAAACATGCCTGTCTTTCTGAGCTTTGATGGCCTGAAGCTATTCTGTACCCTGTATGGTGGTCCTATTTCCAACATACTTTTAAAATCCTGTTGATTTATCACATTCTTTGCAGATATTATCTAATTATATCCCTCTTCTTTCTACAATTCTTTCTTCCCCACTGCTTCAGAATTTTTTTTCTTAATTTTCACTCAGTAACTGGCTCCAAAAAGTGTGTTGTAGTTACAATACTTTTTAAATCAAGTCTATGCTGTGAAAAAACTAGAATTCTAGAAAGTAATCTCAATTTTCAACCAAAGTAGAGTCAATTCAAGCTCTGCATGCCATCCTGCTCATGATCTGTGGGACATTAGATATGGACCTAATGGTCTATTTGATCTATTCTGTCCTTTATTTATGCATTCAGATGCCCATAGGGTTCAGATAATGAAGGTATTTCTTCAGCATTTATACTTCCTCATAAGCAAACTGACTGAGAGTACAAGCATATTTCATGTAGACACCAACACAATCTTTTATGTCTAGTTCTATTATATTTTTATTGGATATTTTTATCCAAATATACATTCTACTGTCCAACCAATAAACTCTGTTAAACTTCTAATATCCCAGAATTATTACGCTGGCTGAGACTCTAGTCTGGGTTGTTCCAGTTGAGCTGACCTCTGTATCTGAATGGAGCCCCATTAGTTCATTTGTATGAGTATCTTCTAGGATTAAATGTTGGCTTATGCCAACCAGTTTCAGGTGGCTGACCACATTTAAGATGACAAGAAATTAATTACTTGAGCACTTTTTACATTTTTCCTTTTTTTACTCCCTGATGTCTTTTACAGAGACCTCTGCCAAAGAAGGGCTGCTGCTGTGGTGTCAAAGAAAAACTGCTCCTTACAGAAACGTGAACATTCAGAACTTCCATCTTAGGTAAGCTTCCATTATTTCAAGGGGTAGAAGCAGTCTAAAAATATTTTAGGTCAAATTTTCCCCACAGTTGTGTAGGTATATATTTGACAGGAGAATTTCACTCTTCACTGTTTTCTGGACTTTTTTACTTTGAACTTTTTTTTTTTTTACTTTTTTTTACTCATGCTCTCTCTTCAGAGTTTTATTTTGGTTAGCTTTTGGTATTATTTACCATGTCTTCCATAGTTACTATTTAAAATAAAAAAATCCCTACTACATCCAGAATGATCATGTTACTTTAGACGTCCTTGGCATATGGGAGTATCTGAGTACCGCAGCATAATGACTTAGTAAACGACTGCTTTCAAATGAGAGCTACTGTAGGTATAGCCTGTTCTTGGCAAAAATACCAATGTGTTGAGCATGCAAATATCTCATTATGATGAATCAGTCTTCATTATTTTGTAACATAACTATAAATAAGGAGCCAAAAATGCACTCAGTACACAACAGCAGCACTTTAAACACATTTGTTTTCAGAATCAAGATCATTACCTCAGCTGGAAAATTTA